ACTTTCCTTACTCAGGTCAAAGGTCCCATTAATCAAAGTAACCCATCCCAACAGCCATTGTTCTGGCCTATCTAGAAGTTGCTAAAATATCTGACAGTAGGAGATCTATGCTACCTTACTTGCAATGTGGCAGACTCACTCCATGGGAGAAGAGTTGGGGAAGTGTTTTTCAAAAGAATTCTACTTGGAATTATTTTAAACATTAATACAGAGTATTTCATAATCTGAATTGAAATAACATTCTCCTGAGAACACTTTCACTTTCTTGAGAACAAAAATGTATAGAAAGCAAATAGAAGGGGCAAAGAATACCACAGAACAAACACATGGTTTGTATTCTAAAAAGTATTAGCAAATCATTTGTTATTCAGTCATTGCCCAGCTATAGTTATGAGTATATATTAACCACTTTGAGCCAAATACTGCTCTCATTTATAGTGGTCCCTTAATCGGTGTTACTGTGGATTTACACAGGTGTAGATGAAAGTCGGAGAACTGATGCTGGGCCCCACTCCAGTTGCTTTGTGCCACTTGGTATGAGGCAGCCAGGGATCAGTTAGAGTAGCATGGAAGCTGCTCTAACTTATATTGGAAATCAAACATACCCCCTCTCCCTCCCACTATTGGATTGTAAAAATGTGACACTGACTTAAAAGCCATTTACAGTTTACCATTTACAGTCTTGCAACAATCAGTCTGGCCAGATCAGAAAATCTGAGCCAGCATGTAACCTTTCTTATTTTTATTATACACATCACTTTGCATCATTTTCTTGTTTAATACTGTGAAGGAGCACTCACCTTGAGTGCCTTCTTGTGGCTGGGTGTGATATTGCAGTCCTTCTGTTGCCCCTGGTGTCTCCTGCAGGCTGTCAGCTGATCTTGGTGGGTCTTCAGTGGCTTACCCCCTCCAACCAAGTCAGCAACTTCAAATGAACCCCTTTCATGGTATTAAAGAGTCCAATAATAATAGTAAAAAAACCTATCTGCCCTTGCTAGTGTGTACAGCACTGGCCCTGGGCCCTTTAAATTCAGCCCAGTGTTCAAGCTCCCAAATAAGCTACATCCCCTTCTTGGGGTTTATGCTAATTTACCCATGGCTGGTTGGGAAATCCAGGCCCACCCACTACTCTAGGTTCCAACCCAGGGACCTATAAACAATAGCTACATACTGCTTGATTCAATTCATTGCTGCTGCTTCCCTGGGCCTCTTTCTACCTGGCCCCTTTAGCTTCACCCTTTAGCAAGGGTGTTCCTGAAACATGCTGAGTCTATCCCCAGTTCCACAACTGGAGAAATGTCTAGTTCTCCTGGGCTACTTCCTACCCTTCCTTCCGAGTCTGGCTGCCTCAAGGCATCCACCGTCTCCCTTCCATCGGTGGTGGAAGGTGGCTGGGAGTCAGTTGGAGCCTCGGCTCAGCTGGCTTCAACATCTTGGAGCTCCGGCAGTCTCATGTCTGTTTCCTTCTTTCACTGAATTCTATATTAGCCACTTGAGCCAACTTAAGTGTGTCCCCACAAGGGAGCTGTATCAATTTAACTAAATCTGTTTCTAAATTGATTTAGTTACTGCAATGCACTTTTTGTGTGTAGACAAACCATTAGGCACAACTCTTCTCTGGGCTTTTCCTGAGGTGGGGGCTCTGCTGCCCCCCTAGTTCTCAGCTCCTCACCTAGAGTACGGCAGCTGACCGGACTCGGGGTGAGGATCTCCCCACCAGAGGTGAGAAGCCCCAGGTGGCTGCCCCCCTGCTCCTGGCTGGGAACATGGAGGCAAGAAGACCAGGGGGCAGTTGGGCTCCCAAGGGGTAGCTGCAAGGAGCTCAAAGAACCAGTTGATTGCATCCATTAGCACAGAGGTTGGCAACCTTCGGCACGTGGCCCATCAGGGTAATCCGCTGGCGGGTCAGGAAACGTTTTGTTTACGTTGACCGTCCACAGGCACAGCCTCTCGCAGCTCCCAGTGGCTGCAGTTCACCGTTCCCGGCCAATGGGAGCTGCGGGAAGTAACGTGGGCCGCAGGGACGTGCTGGCCGCCGCTTCCTGCAGCTCCCATTGGCCGGGAACGGTGAACTGCGGCCACTGGGAGCTGTGGGGGGCTGTGCCTGTGGATGGTCAATGTAAACAAAATGTCTCACAGCCCACCAGGGATTACCCTGATGGGCCACGTACCAAAGGTTGCCAACCCCTGCATTAGCACCTTCCAGTATAAAAGTACCCCCAAACCTCTTGTTGCGGGTGATGATTGGCTGATAGACTGCAGTCTGCCCCAGGGCGCGGGGGCTAGATGGTGACTGGCAGTAGCCATAACTGAGGTGACATTGGGATAGGAGGTGGGGGTTCCCCTGGGTGGGGAGACCCAGAGAAAGAGTGGGGTACTGCCAGGGGGGCAGCACCTAAGCCAAGGGTACCGAGGTCTGGGAGGGACATGGGGGGCCAACGACAGGCAGATCACCGGCCTGCAGAGGGCGCTTCAGAGGCTGGTGAGCTAATTTCCGGTACGACCAGCAGGAGGCGCCGCAGGAGTGAGTCCACGCCTGATTACAGGGAGGCAACTAGACACGCACAGTGGGGAAAGGGGACTGAGCCCCTGGCATGAAAGAAGGGGTGGGAAAGTTGCAGGGAGTCCCTTCAACAGAGGGTAATGGGGTGGGGGGCATACAAGGAGAGCTCTCTCCCATCTGCATCACCAGATATGGCACAGATGCGCTGATGTAGCGCTTCTAGTGTAGTCTAGCCCTTGGTTTGTACAACGTGCTCAGTCTACAGAAGCAAAAATCGTGTGACCCTCTACGTGTTAATAATCAGTCTTTGTTTGCAAATTCATTCAGCAGTCTAGGGCCTTCATAAAAATAAAATCTCAATTCCACCAAGCTGCGCTAACAAAACCGCATAAGCTATCTGCTCTATTTGTAAGAGCTCTATCCTTTGATCACATTATCATGTGAAATGTACATAATGTGAGCAGATAATATAGCTATATTCAGCTTTTCAAAACCAAGGCGTTCGACAGAATAACATCACAGTTGTTAAATAGATACGTGGAATTATCACAATCAGATAAGGAATGAAGGATTGTTTGTCTGAAATATACCAAACATGGCAATAATCTCTGAAGGTGCAATTACATAGCAATTGTATTCTACAGTGGCATAGTGTTAGTTTTTGAAGTGCGGGAACTTTAGACCAATATATTGAAATGAGCAGAATGAATGAGTGGAGACTGCTTAGCCCCCAATCATCCAGCGGTGACCCTACCTGTAGTGTAGGCAGACAATGCAGCTAGTTAAAAAGAGAAGGCAACAGCAAAGTACAACAAGAAGTAGAAATTTCTAGAGGATTTCAATTCCAAATATGGTTGCAGGGTGGAGGGAAGGGGATATTTAAGAGTTTTGCTTCAAAATGTGTTTTACACTCTGAAATCATTTAAATGTCAAAAGAAACGTGATACTCTCATTTTCCCAGTTCCCCTACCTCTACCCTCCCAAATTCCTTCTGCCTTAAACTCAGGGGTGAAAGTAACTTAAAGGACTCACTGGTACGCCAGAGTCCTGAGTGGGAGCGTGGCCTCAACTGGAAGAGGTGTGGCTTCAAGCAGAAGAGGTGGGACCTGTCAAGATTTAAAGGCCCTGGACAGGGCCGGCTCCAGGCACCAGCCCACCAAGCATGTGCTTGGGGCGGCACCTGGAGGGGCGCGGCGCGGCGCTCTGGCCCAAGAGCAGGGCTGCGACTGGGCTCGCTGCCCTCCCCGCGAATCTCTGGCCGCCGGTGAGAGCGGACCCCCGGCCAGGCTCTCCGCCCTCCTCCCGGTGCTCCGGCTGTCAGCGGAGCCGCGGCGGGCTCGCCGTCCTCCCCTCGGCACTCCAGCCGGTCGGGGAGAGCAGGCCCGTGGCCGGGCTCGGTGCCCTCCCCGGCCGCACTCCCTGCTGGGGGGGCAGGGCAGCAGGAGGCTTTTTTGCCTCGGGCAGCAAAAAAGCCAGAGACGGCTCTGGCTGTGAGCCCCAGGGCCTTTAAATCACCGCAGAGCTACCAGCTGCAGAGGCAGCTGGGAGCCCTGTGGCTCAGGGGTGAATTAAAGGGCCCGGGGATCTGGCCGCCACGGAGCTCCGGGCCCTTTAAATCACAGTGGGAGCCCTGCCGCCGATACCCCAAAACAGCAGGGCTTGGGCACGGATTTAAAGGGCTTAGGGCTCCTGCCATTGTAGGGAGCCCTGGGCCCTTTAAAGTGCCGCCGGAGCTCTGGCAGCGGGATTCGGGCGGCGCTTTAAAGGACCCAGGGCTCCTCATAGCGGCCGGAGCCCCGGGCCCTTTAAATCACCGCCGGAGCCCTGCCGCCGCTACCCTGGGGCAGCAGCAACAGGGCTCCGGCGGTTACTTAAAAGGCCCAGGGTTCCCTGCAGTTGCAGGAGCCCCGGGCCCTTTAAATCCCCACCGGTTTACTTTCACCTCTGCTTATGAGTTTTCATCTTGAGGTCCCAAAGCTATTTACAAAGAAGGCCCTTCCTCATTATTCCCATTTTACTCATGGGCAATCTGAGGCACATAGCCTTGCCCAGAGCAGTGGCCCAGCTGAGAGTCCCACTCCGGCTCTAGTCCTCAAAACTGTGCCACCAGTTGCCTGAATCAACTCTAGCTGAAGGCACGCTGAGGGAGGCTAAGAGGCGGCGTGGTGGCCGGGCCAATAGAACCATTAATCCTCTGCTACTGCTGTGCCACAGAAGCTACATGGGGCTGGAAGGACGGATACCACCCCGATCTGAACCAAGCCTGGGGCTCTTTACTCCAGCCCGTCAGGCTGAGGCACTTGCTGTAGCTCGAGTCAGAGCAGCTACGTGACAGGCGCGCGGGGCAGGGCGGTCTCGCCCCCTCCCCTCTGCCTTGCCCTGCCCGGGGACAGCGGGGCGGGCGGAGCTGGGGGCGGCCCGCGGGCTCTTGCCGTTCGTTGGCTCAGCGGCGCGCGGAAGGGGCCTGCAAGGGGCCGGTCC